CACGGGAGAAAGCTGCGGAAGAGAAGGACGAAGGCTGGATAACTGTAACGAGCGGAAAGAAAAGAGGGCAATTCGCGCCGACCAGGAAGGAATCTACCATCAGCAAGGTGCAACAGAAGGAGGAACAGCGCAAGAAGAAGAAGGAATTGATTAATTTCTATACCTTCCAAATTCGCGAGACGAAAAAGCAGAGTAAGTACAATTGCGCATTACAAAATTCTTCGTAGAGTGGTTTTTTTTTTTAGAATGCGCTTAATCCGTACGATCTTGCTTTCAGATTTAGCGGAGCTACGCAAAAAGTTCGAACTGGATAAAAAAAGACTGCAGGAATTGAAACAAAAACGGACGTTTAAGCCATTTTAGGTACGTTAAATGTTGTTGTAAATAACTAGGATATGATTGTAAAATTATTAAAATCAGTTGTAATTCGTTAGAATCTTTATTTTTTTGGCGAAACAAGTTATATACAATATAATTGCCTAATGATTTTATTTTTTATGTACAAACAGTAATTATTTAGAATATTGTCGATTAAATTAATTCATCGTCATCATTGCCGTCGCTGTCGTCGTCGTCATACTCGTATCAAGCTGCCTTAGTTGCATAAGTTTGTAATGTCCATTCTATCAAAAAGTGCTGATACGACAGTGGTTGCAGAAGGGCTAAGAGTTCCTCTGAAACAAACGTTAATAATGATATGTATAAAATTGTGGTAATATGATTATATGTACGCGCGAATACATTTTGTAAATACGTATGTGTATAAGATACACACGTTTATTTCCGTAAATGCAGTTCGCAGACATGGCCGCGCTGACGGCTTGCGCGAGTCGTTCCATAGCTAGGTCACGCGAGACTTTTTCGACGGTCGGACGATTTTGCAGATTTGCCGTCAATAATCGAGTAGTAGACGCCAAATGCTGCGCCGAGATCGCGTGTTTGTTGCTGTCGCTGTTGTTCAGTCGTAGCACCGAGTCCATGAGTAACTGTTGAACTTTCGAGTAAAATTTTCGCGACTCTTCCCGACTCTCCGTGCTTTCCGTAGTGTCATTACGCAGAGGACTCAATATGCACCATCTGTAGATGAAAGAAAGAACAGTTCGATGTTAAATGTGCTTTTGTTCGTCATCTTGCATGCGAAGTTATAGAATGGGAAATGACCTGAACAAGCCTGCTATAGGTGTTATCGGGGTCATCGGAATCCCGCCGGTGGGCAACGCCGGATTGTCCATCAGGGGTGTTAACAGTAAACTCGGATTTTCGTCGATCCACTCGCCTACCGATCTGAGCAGCTCGGTAGGCGGATCTTTGTCCTCGTACACTTCACCGATCGCCGTCAGCAGGTTGGCGGTGAAATGTGGCGCGAGTACGGGTAGCTGCTTCAGTTTGTCGATGGATCTCGGAGTGAGCACGAAGTAGTCGTTGAGCACGTGCCTCGCCAGTCCTACGCTCTGCGGCGAGGTGGAGCCCAACTGCTGCATCCAAATGCCAGCTGCGTTTAGGACCGCCTTGTTTTGCGTGGCGATCGCGAACGACACCAGGTTACCTAGGATCTTGTATCTGGGACTGTCCGCCGGGAAGAGCGACAGGAAGAGAGCGTTGCGCACCGCGGGAGTGCCGCCTGGGCTCTGGAAGAAGTCGCTCATGCAGTCTATCAGCTGCAGCTCGTGTATCGCCGTTGTCATGTTGCGTTTCTTCCGCTTCTCCACCTCTCCGAACACAAACTCCGATATCAAGTCCATTTGTAGGTCCACTTGCTTGCCCGGCCTGCAGCAGAGCACCTCTTGACAAACGAATAACAAATAAAATTTAATATTTGAAGAGGGAAAGAGAGAGAGAGAGAGAGAGTCGTGATATATTAAAATGTAACGTAGATCTGTACATTTTAGCTGCATAATATTGAAACATAGATAAATACATTTTAGTACGTTAAATGTTGCTGTAACATTAGGATAAGATTTTAAAGTTATTAAAGACAAGTGTGTCGTGCTACATTTTCGAGATACACAGAGAGCACAGCTAAAATAAACAGACCAGCGGCGTCGAGATAACCTGTACCACTCGTACCGATTCTGCATAGAGCATCCCTGGCGCAGTAAGGGAAGTCCAGCTTTCTAAGTACCTGCTTCACGTCGCTCCCGGACATCGTAGTGTAACGCGGACGCAATTGTCGTGCCGAATACCGAAGGAAATTGTCTCGACCGTCTCAACTTGCAGCGTTTGACCGGTTTGACAGCGATCATGTGCGCGCGCGCCTGTATATATGCATATATATGTAGAGGGGTAGTAGGTGCGCGTCGCGCGCCGCGACAACGCGGCGCACAGTGGCGCGCAGTGCGCACCGGCGGCCGACGCCGGTGGGGCCCTCGCCGCGCAGTGGCGCCACCGGCGAGTAGGTTGCGAAGCGCATTATTAGTCAAAACAATCCGCCGAATTGGTGATCTATTTTTAGGTCGCGCCCACCGTAGTCCACGGTGCTGCACCGTTTTTCCCCGGAGAGGCCCGGAAAGAGAAGTCCGCGCGGCCGGTGCCCTACCGCGACGCCGTCTCGCACCCGCGATAAGGTTCAACGACCCCCCTCCCCATCGTGGATTGTGACAGGCCAGGGAGCCGTGCGGCCGTGCGCGGGCCGGCCATGTTTATACCGTGGTGAGAAAATTTTCGAGCCGTGCGCCGACCGTGCAGCCGCCGCGAGCCACGAGCGGGACTATCTCCACGTGCGCCGTGGAAGCGCGACGATCCCCGCCGCGCCGCGCGTACCAGCCCCGTGCCCCAGGAGGCCGCCGCGGGACCGCAGCGCGCAGCGTTCGCCGAGGAGCCGACGACGATGGAGTCCTCCGACAGGGGTAAGTCTCGCCTGGCGCGCGACGAGGATAACGACACCCGCGTGGGAAAAAACGGCGGCGGCCAATATTGTGCCAATCTTGACGCGGACGCGCTGCCCCCCGCGGCGGGGGGCAATGGCAGTGTCAGGGTCGAAACGGAACTGGTTCAGTGACCGCGTTAAGAGTCGCGCGGGGTCGTCCGCGCGACGACGTTTCGACGACCCCCCCCCCTCCCCCCGGTTGACGGCCGACCTCCTGGCAGTCGAGGTCGCGGCGGACCGTCGACCGCTCCGAGCTCTCGCGTAAATCGCCGTCGCCGATCGAATCTATGTCACGCGGCGCGCTTTTGGCCAAGACTGTACCAACGCGTCGTCCTCCTCTCTCTTTTCTCCTCCGCCTCTTTCCTTCCTCTCTCTCTCGCGCTCTCTCGCCTCCCCCGCGTTCTCGCCGTCTCGCTCGCGCTCCTCGTCCGCATCTTGACCGGGATGGAGAGGGAGAGAGAGAGAGAGAAGAGAGTGCGCGCGCGCGCTACGCCTCCAGGGCATCATCCTGCGGATCGCTCACGGGCACGTGGTGGAACGGACGCCGTCGAACGAGAAATCCGAGACGGCGATCCGCCCGCGCGCGGGCGCGCGCGCGCAATTCTCTCGCCGCGCCGGCGAGAAAACGACGGACGCGCGGCGACATTTCCCCGCTCGCTCGCTCGCTCGCCAGCGATCGTGCACGCCGCCACCAGGGAGCCGTAACCCGTGAGAGAGAGTGCACGGCTGGCACGGGCGTTCCGCGTTGCGCAACTGCCGCCGCGGCCGTAACTGCGTGTCTTTAACCTACATAGGAGGCCCCGGCGCGGCGCGCGCGGCGAATCAGAGTCACGGTGTCGTTTGACAACGGCGCGCACGGGCCGCACACACGTGAGAATTATTATCGCCTGACCGAGCGATTCCCCCTCCCCCTTCATCGGCCAGCGGCCCGCGTGTCCCCCTTTTCCCCCTTTCCCTTCGCGCCCCTCCCCCCGCGCCGCTGTACCTCGCTGCGCTTCGTCGCGTCGCGACGTGGCGACACCTGCCGACCGCTCGTGCGCGCCCTACCTCAAGCCAACGCGAATTAACCCTCCCGCGTCGTCGCCGTTCAACCCTCCCTCCCCCGGTTGCACGCCCGGTGGTGGTTCCCTTCGATCATGAATCGAGACGGGGAAAATGTTGTCACCCTCGATGGAGTAACCTGTCATGGGGAAAAACGACCGCAAGGTTAGAACGGATATTTTTGTCCTGTATATTGCCTTACCCGAAAGCCCCCCTTAGGGGGATGATTGAGTGGATCGAGATGCAGGTTGCAGGGGTCGTCACGAATTCCTATTCATTCTGTGCTTGAATAACATGTTACTGTTGCGAGCCGAATTGTCTCGGATATATTTAATTGGCAAACGATTTTTCGGAGTTACTGCACAGAAAAAAAAGAATATTCTTAATTTGATGATGTTTTTAGTAATTTTAGTTTTAATGTGGAAATCTTGAAATGGAATTTATTGCAATAAAAGCGAAGAAAACTTGCTTGTATAATAAAGTCATTTTGTATGTTTAGTTAAAAAATAAAGTTGAAATTCTCATTAGAAGATTCATAGATTGTTGCGTATACGAATATAAGTTTTGATTTGACACTTCTTTTTTTCTGTGCACAATTCAAAGTAACTAGCACCAAATAGTAAACTTGCCTTGGATGAACAAAACTGAAGCGTCGAACAATCCATTCGAACCGAACAAATCGCAGTTAATCCGATATTTCGGTAATTTAATTGCGGTTATCAGCGCGCGATCGAGACTGTCGAATCAAACGATTCGTTAATTCGTTCGTTAATTTGATGTTTTGTCACGTGGAAACGATCGCTACGCAATCCGAGCAATTTTATCGCAACCCGGAGTTTGTACAATTGATCTATCATACCATCCGATTATGCGTGGGTTTCATATTCGCTCTAATTGTTCATTAGTCCCGTGATTCACGCCGATCGTTTCAGCGACGATTCTGGCGCGATACAGATTCACACGCGAATAACAAACAAGTCTCTCTCGAAAACCAAATTGAACCCAAAACTCCGTAAATCTTTCAATTTTGGAAATTAAAAACACGATTAGTCTGTAATCTCTTTTTGGCTTTTTTTATATTTATTTCGAGGATCTTGCGATTTCCCATAAAATCGGGGATCTCCGTGATCAAATGACCACACAGTTTGATTTTTGAGCGGTGCAAATATCATGATTTTTTTTTGGGTAGGCTAGAGAAAAGGGAAGCGCGATAAGAAGCCGCGAATATACGCGCGCGTGGAGTAAGATCGCGCTCGCGGGAGCGCGCGTCTCGCTTCTAAGTTTGGCGCGGTGGATGGCGGCGGCGGCGTGCGACCCAACCGACGACCTTTCTGCATTCATTCCGGTCCCCGCGAGATCACGGCCACGACTCCGCGCCTCGTTCCCGCTTCTCGCTGCTCTTTCCTTCGCATACCTCGTCGCCTTCGTTGCCTCCGCCGTTGCTTTCCTCTCGCTTTTCAAGACGTCGCGCTTCGAGCGTTCAAGCACGGCGGTCCGTGTCTTGTGGGATAATCCGCGGTCAATTGGACAGGACCACGTTCTCGTTCGTGCCACGTGAATTTTAATGCGCGACCAAATCTGCAGAAACGAAAGAAGAAAACACGAAGAGATCATCGTTTATTTGAATTTACGAAAGAATGCATGCGCTATGCGTTTATCGAAGACTTGAGTCATTCTTTTCTGGCATATACCTGTCGCTTAAAATATTACACGCGTCGAGAAAAGATTAGGAGATGCGAAAATTTCAGCTCGACCTGTTCAATGGAAAACCTCCGGGTCGATGGAAAAAGTATATATTCGTGGAAGCTGGTTGGTTTTTGCGGTTGAAACGAAAATGTTGTCAGTCGTTTTCACGGGCGACCAAAAAGGGATGACGGAAAGCGGAAAAGGCGTGTGCACCGACAAAAGTGCATCTTTGAGTTTTCTGACCTGCCGGCCATCCTAAGAGGATCCACAAAATTCCGGGGGATTCCTTTGTCCTCGACGCAGGACTGCAGGCGCGGCGCGTTCCAACCAGCGTCGCCCTTTATCCTTCATTTTTAATCCGCGTACACCATCCACGCGGCGTTTTGTTCTCTTTCGCGAGCCACCTCTCTCTTTCTCTCTTTCTCCTCTCCCTGTTGGTCTCTTCCTCGTTATATAAGTCCAAGGACGAGCCGCGCTGCTACGTGTACTTCTCCCTCCACCACGCTGCTTCTCTCTCTCTTTCTCTCTCTCTTCCTTCCCGCTCTCTCGTTCTCTTCGTCCTCCTCGCTCCTTCTTCGATCTCTTTCTCCCTCCTTCGCTCGCTCCCGCTTCCTCTCGTTCGCAACGCCGTCCTCCTGCACCATGCAGCGCATCAGACGACGCCTTATACGCTGCTCCTGTTATTCTTCTAGCTTCCATACTCTTTTGCTTCAGCGTTCAGCGTAGTTCAGGGTCTTCCAAAGCGAGCATCGCGATTTCTGCGGAGAAGAAGGGAGAGAAAGAGAGAGAGAGAGAGAGGGCGAGCTAACACAGCAGGCGCGACGCGAAATCTCAAAGTGCAACAAGGTTTTATACCGCAGGCTATCCTAGACTTCTCAGCTATACAGGGTGTCCGAAACACGTCGAGCCATCTTTCACTTTTTCAAAGACTCGTGCGCATCTCAGGTATAAAAATCAAACGAAGGGAATGATTAATCGATTTTCAAGCATTGCGTTTTTCGAGGAACTTATGCAAGCCTGATGCGAACTGTGTGTTCTGCCTGTCTTCTGAATATATTCTTTCTTTCTTTTTTTTTCTCTTTTTTTTCTTTTTTTTCGGATTCAATGTTAGCGTTTGAACTCCGACGAGCAGGTCGATCGCCATGGCAGGCCAGCCGGACATCTGTTGGCGTCATCTCGGTTGCGTCAAACTGTAGTAGGCCCTGTGTACGCTCGTACGTGGCTTTCCTAGAAGCGATGCAAAATTGCGAAAAGGGCACGTCGCGAAGAAACCTCTCGGGGGGGGAAAAAAGAAGAAAATATACGATTATGATGTAATGCAGAAGGTGTTTCCGCGATTCGCTATTTTCAACGTCTCCCGCTCGCGCGCACGCGCGTCATCGGCAAGATTGCGAAGATGGAAAAATATCCAGCAAACGGCCGTCGTTAGCCGTCATTAAGGCGGGAGTTCTCAGGTGCGGTATGTCGTTTCTCAGAAGCGGCGTGCACCGTATCTAATTGCAGATGCACCGTCGTTGGTAACGAAACGCGGGACGAGATGCTTCTTAATTCCTCCTCCTCTCTCCCTCTTCTCTTCGCTCGCTCGCGCTCGGATTTCGCGCCAATTAATGCGATAGAATTTCGCGAGCGTGGGCGCACGACATGCACATTCGCTATTTAGATATTCGGCTTGCCATATCGCGCACGGCCAGGACGTCCTGCG